TAAAGAATTTTTACAGTTCAAAGTCGTTCCATTTGAAAAAAAAAATAAATAAAAAATCTCATTTTTAGATTGCAAAGTAGCCAAAGGAATGTTTTGCCAAATGACAGACCTGGAGAGGCAAATGCCAAACCTAGAGAGGCAAATGCCAACCACTTGTAGTTTTAAGAAGTCACTGCAGTTCTGAGCAAGGGTTTGCTGAGCTCTGCCAGAGCCGCTCTGGCTGAAGCTAAGAGAGCACAAAGCAGCTCGGGCAGTGCTGGTCAGAAGTGGAAACACTGTGCAAAGATAAAGGAGGTACAAGCTTCCCCTGGCTTTGTAACAACACCGAGTTTCTCTATCACCAATCAACTATTGTCCAGAATGAAACAATTCATCTTTGTGAAGAAACCAAAAGACATCTTTGTGAAGAGACCAGAAGTACTTTAACAGCGCCGAATGCCAGATTTCAGTGAGAATGGAAAAAAAACCTTCTTATTTCACTCTTCTCTAAGCATCTCCCAGGAAAAGGTGTCACCTCCCAGGCCTGGCAGTGTCACATCACCCCGTGTCATAGCCAGGCACCGATACCAGCACACACAGCCCTGCGACACACCTATTCAATACTGTGGGAAAGCTTCACCACATAGAAAATGATACTTGTTACTTTTAGCTGAAAAAAAACAACAAAAAAAAGTTGTTCTTCCTTTTGAAACATGCCTTTGAAAAGCCTCAGCATGAGCAAAGTCAGATTTGAAACCCAAAAACCATCTTTCAGTAGCCACTTCAAGACAAAGGTGCTGTATGTTTTTTCTTAGCACACATGATTTCTAAGCTGACGTTAACCGACGCATCGAAATCCCTGTTCCACCCACACCAAAACCTCATTTGAGAGACACTTCCTACAGCTCAATATGTACAACTGCAGCTCCACTAAGTTTAATTACACTTGGCACTCTTCTGCAGAGGGACATCCACCTGCCTCTTGAGTTTTACACATCATTGAAGATAGTCAGAAAGGTACAGATCTAACAAATCCTGCTGGAAGAATCAAGCAGCCGTCGCTGGAGACATCAGTAGCCCAAGGGCACCTTGTTTTCCTCCTGCTCCCATGCTGGAGTTCACAAATACCAGTATAACCAGTACCCACCATGGGCTTAAACCACCAGCTAACATTTTCCTGCTACAGCAGTAATCCAAACTGGTCTGTCAAAGCTTCCAGTGACAGAGATCCAGATTTATTTTAAGTATTTTGAGATTTAAAAGATCATCGCGCTGAAGCGGTGGTGTCTGAGTGCTGAACGCGCTTCTCTTCTCCCACTAAGGTCTCAAATACGTTTAAAAATCCAGATGGCAGGATGCAAGTCTGCTATATGAGGATTTCTAATTTTGACAATACCAGAGGAAATGAATCCATGTTGAAGAGCGGGAATTACTCAGAGAACCTCCCTGCTCTGAGTAGCGGGTCTCCTTCTTCCTCTTACTTCATCGCTCAGCTTGCAACCCTGAGGTGACATTTAGGTGAAGAGAGAAATCCAGGACTCGAGTGTTTTCAAGGGCCAATAATTTTCCCCTTCTTCCTCGCTGCAGGCAGACTTGCTTCTGGATGTATCTTGATGTCATAGAATCCCAGACTGGTTTGGATTGGAAGGGACCTTAAAGCTCATCCAGTTCTAACCCCCCTGCCAGCAGCAGGGACACCTTCCACTAGACCAGGTTGCTCAAAGCCTCATCCACCCTGGTCTTGAACACTTCCAGGGAGGGGGCATCTACAGCTTCCTTGAGCAACCTGTCCTTGTATATACCACAAACACACGTTATGAAAAGCAGCAAGGAGAAAAAGTAATCTTATTAGTGAAATTACTCTACCCCTAAGAAGTTGCAGAGGGCGTTGGAAGATTTTCATGAGACCCCCAGCATTCAGACACGTGCCAGAAGGTCACTAACAGCATCTCATTAACCCTCTGAGATGGAGGCTTTGCATCATCAACACACCTGGCATCGATCCCAAACGGGATGTCAAAGAACCAAGACAAACATCTGAAACCAGCAACACGAGGGTGACTTGACAAACCTGCCGCGAACTCGCGGGATGTCGAAATGCAGCATCAGTATTTCCATTTTACCTACAAATACACCGGCGCCAAAGAAAACCAAAGCTATGCTGAAAGCCAAACTAAGGACGTTATCTTCAACGGGAAGCTGAGACACATCGCAACGTTGATTTAAGAGGTCAGGCTAGACGCTATGTTTGAGGTAAGAATCCCACTATTTCCAATATTAGCTCAATATAGCACCAGTTTTAGCGCCGCTGGAAGTCAGAGTCTAATCCTACGGGGTGTTTTGAAGCGGTTGGTTAGGACAGCAGCCTGAAGCAGTTTAATGGAGCAGGCACCAGCCTGTCCTGCGAAACCCAGAGCGCGCCCCGGCCTCAGAACAACTCTTTTGTCCCTAATAAAGGTAGTTTGATTGTCGGTCCCAAACCAATTGAACATCATTTTGGATAAAATTGCTTAAACTGCTTGGGCACGCAGCTGGAGCGCTCGCTAGAGAAGAACCTCAGATGCTGAGGAAGATGAGAACTCGTGTGGTGCAGGGAAGAGATTCAGGTAGCACAAGACTAAAAGCCTGTTTTGAAATCAGCATCTGTTGAATAAAGGCTACTTCTAGCCCAGGAGCTGTTTCCAGTTAAGAAGGCATAATAATATCAGCCACTCCACGTTCCTGTGTTAACAGCATCAATTCATGCCACATTAAAAACACTTTCTTGGCACAATTTATTATTTTTTTTCTGACCCAAACATATAAGTCATTAGCAAGTCATTAACAATATTCTACCCTAATTTGTCAGTTTAACAGCCCTGTAAAAACATTTTTTTTTAATTTTTTTTTTTTTAAATTATTTTTAGTTTAAAAACAAACGTGTGCATGCTGTTGATATTAAAACTGCAGTTACTCTTTCAGGAGTACCAGCTGTTTTGTTGCAAAGCATTTTTGAACATACTAATCTGTACAGTAAGGACAAAGATTCAATCGAAGGCAGTAGATGGCTGTGTTAGATGCCACTGACAGCTCGGTAACAGCAGACTGTCTGCATTTCTTGTACACTTCCAGATACAAATATTCAAGCCCTTTTTTTTGTTTGTTTTTTTGAAAGAGTTTGGTTCAGGCCGATCAGCAGAGAGTAAGAAAGTATTGTACATTCGTCTCTAAGTTGAAGTGAACTGAACTGGTGTAATTTAGGCTCGATTCCAGACGCTGGGTTTCAAGCTACTTCTTGAATAATGCCTCTCAGCTTTTTCTTATGCGTGGTTTTTCATGTTAGAGATCACTGGCACTGTTTTTGGCCTTGCTACTCCACACTGATGAAAGCAAAGGAGAACAAGTGAAGGAACAGAACAGGATCTTCAAATGAACAGTTTCTTGCCAAAACCAGCAAGGATACCATTCCCCCTTGTCCCAGGCTCCATGGATATTTCTATCTGATTTTCATATTGTAAGCGCTTCTCGGGAAGAGAGAAAATTCTGGAACAGTGAGTATTTATTAGAATATTTTTTGTTAAATAAAGAGGAGAGGAAAAAAAAAAGAAAAAAAAAAAAGAGTACTGCAGATTTAATTTCACATCTTGGCTATGCTCTGACAAAGGAGAAGTTACTGAATTCAGCAACTACTTCTTGTCCCAAGCCAGGGATTAATTAATGCCCCTCCCAAAACTTGTACCTGTCCCAACCCACCTCCCAAACCCCAACCTTTCCCATTTTATTTCCCAACTAGACAACACTGTTGGCAAATCAAGACAGCATGAAACTTACATCAATAAAAACAAACAAAAAATAATAATAATGTGAAGTGTGCCAACGCATCAGGGGAACTATCCTATTCCAGGGTGAACTTCTCCAACTAGCAATTCTGCTCAGGAGTCAGCTGTACCTTTCACGGAGGGAAGAGTTTAAACATTTTGAGCATGCTCCATGGTGCGATTAGAAGTGCTGCAGAACCACAGGACAAGAGACTGAACACCTGAAATTTCCCCCTCCCCCACCCCCTCCCCAGGACTTCTTTTCAGGGACACGCCTGGTTATCCAGCCGAAGGTTCGTGCAGTAACGCTCAGGAAGTACAATCCGATGCTTGAGCACAAACGCCGAGGATCCAGTTGAGCACGGTGTAAGGCATGTGGACAAGAAGAGACGTCAGCAGAACGCAGCGGGATCAGCAGAACAGCATTGGTGATGGACGCTCCAGTTTGTCAGACTTTGACCCCACTTTGAATCCCCGATTCCTACCACAGACAATGAAATTCAGTTTCTATCGTAGCGTTTCTGAGGCTATTTATTTTTTTGGCCAAGTGTTAAAAGACCAACTCCTTTTTCTTTTTTTTGTTTCATTTTGATGTAAATGCAGAAACATTGGCGGAAGCTGTAGGAGAAGCAACGGAGCAGCAGGGATGTCTGGAGGTGATGGAAACTCTGCCCTCAACTTCAAGTGTCACTGCACTAAATTGGGAGATACTGAACGGGGAGTAAACTGTCCCAGCCACCAGCACTGTCACAGAATGTGTATTTTTAAAAAAATAAAACAGAACAAAAGGCAAACAGATTAATTCTGAACCCTTCTTTTCAGAAGCAGACCAGGTTAAAAAAAATTCCCACAAAATTAAAATGTTAGATTCTCCATCTAAAAAAAATAAGTTTATACATACGCGCTGAAAGTGACCACCACACAGGTCTGAACAGCACCTTACAGTACAGACTAAGACCTAAAGAGCTGATCTCACATTTGAAGTCTTTTTAATTATTAAAAAAAAGAAAAAAAAAAAAAAGGAAAAAAAAAAAGTGGCTATGGCTGGGATGACACAAAGGGGACACTTCAGAACACAAGGCAGAGGTGAAACTGGCAGCCTTGCTCGCCAGGCCATGGAAGCGGTGTAACGGGAAAGGGGCACTTCATGCACAAAAATGTATTTTACAAAATACATATCCCAAAAAAAGGAAAAAAAAAAAAAAGCCAACAAAACAACAACAAAAAAAATTCCCACCTTGCACTAAATTGCAGCACTCTTAACACTTGCTCTGCCACAGGCTGCTGCCCATGCCTTGTTTGATAGAGGAGGCATGTGAAAAAGGGGAAGGGGGGGAGGGAAATCCATGTTTCAGTCTATTTTGCAAAATTTCTCTCATAGGGATGTCTTCAGTCATCTGATGTCAGACACGGAGCTCTCAGAGTACGTCGTGGTCATGACAGGAGTGCCGTTGTTTGCCAAGCAACCTTGCCTCAAGGTTTCAAAATACGAGGCCTGCACTGGTTTATGATACTGCAGAACTTTAATGGCATCTTCTATCTTAAACCATTCCCTTTTCCTTCCTGCAGGTAAAAAGAAAACTCAGTAGATGGAACAAAATGGTGTTATTCTATGTTTAAACATTACTGTTGATTAGCACCTTCATTATTATCACGTGTACTAATGCTGCAAGAATCATTTCACTGTGTGTCAAAGCTCCAGTTCCAAAGACACTAGGAAGTTTTCTCTCAGGATTCTCTGATCTTGAGGGCCACCTACTCCAAACACCACACTGATGGCTCCTCTATCCCCACGACAGGTACCTGTTTAAGGCAGTACATCCACTGTCCAAACAAACCGGTCTTGCATTTCCTAATTTAAAAAAACACATTTATTTTGCTATTTCTGCAATTTCTATACAAGCCAGATCCTCATTTTAAGATAATCCACAACAACACACACCAACCAATTTCTATCAGTTTGCAAGTGAACCTCAGTTTTTGGTGGACAGCACTCATTTCTTACTCTTCCCATTAAAACTCTTCCATACACAGCCTGATATAAGTTAATTACAGGTGCTTACAATCCTATTGACAAACCTCATGCAGAACAACATGTTCATTTGCATTTAGGAATCCAATTTAAACACAAAGATTTCAAAAGATAATGAGGAATGATTAATCCACATTGTCCACATATACATTCTGCTAGTCTTAGAGAGGACTTCATGCTCTTTGCTTAATACCTTAAAGTGCAAGAATTAAATACAAACTTGTTGTAGAAGCAGCTGTACAGATGAATTGACTTCTCTTGGGCTGCAGAGGTTACAAAAGCATCAATTTAACCACCATTTTTTTTCCCCCAAGCAACCAAAGGACACACCACTGTAACTTTTCTCCATCACTGTCACGAGGATTCCAGCTCCTAGAGGGATGTGTTTTGTCTGCATCAAACCAGTTAACGCTTACCAATATTGACAGAGTCCTCCCAGTCTTCCAACACTTCTGTGACGATAAGTACGTAAACATATGTCCTGTGTTTCCTGTCCCGGTTCTAGAAGGGAAAGGGAATAAAATAAAGACAAAGCTATCAAAGGAGAAAAGGCAGGAGGGCATGTGGTGACTACAAGTTCCAAGTTGCCTCACTACGATGCTGCGGTACTTTATGTGCAGTTTCTCTCACGTTATAGCTTGTTCTTAGCTATTAAAAATTGTTGTGTTTTAAATGAGAGCTCTGAAAGTATTAATAGTATTAAAAAAGTCTAGTTCCTAAATAAAAATCCAGTTCCTAATCTGTAAGGTAGTAAGTGGTGGATGGATATGCTTATAAATCAGTTCCTCAGCTGGAAAAAAAACCCACAAAAGATATTTTTATCTATTTCACACAATTCATAGAATCATAGAATGGTTTGGGTTGGGAGGGACCTTAAAGCTCATCCAGTCCCAACCCCCCTGCCAGCAGCAGGGACACCTTCCACTAGATCAGGTTGCTCAAAGCCTCATCCAACCTGGCCGAGAACACTTCCAGGGAGGAGCAGCCACAGCTTCTCTGGCCAACCTGGGACACTGTCTCACCACCCTCACAGTGAAGAGCTTCTTCCTAATATCTAATCTAAACCTCCCCTCTTTCAGTTTAAACCCATTTCCCCTTGTTTTGTCATTAATTGCCCTTATGAAAAGACCTTCCCCAGCTTTCTTGTAGGCCCCCTTTAGGTATATCAATTCTGAAACAGTCAGTGAACAAACAACTGTAGAGAGCTGTGTCTGGTACCTGCTGACTACGCACCTCACTAGCACTCGTCAGGTGTTACCACACTACTAATAGGAGCACACGTTGCAGAAGCCAGTTTGGCAAGGGGTGATGGCAGGTGCTAAAGAACAAAGAAGAGTCTCTGCTCCCCAGCTGGTGGGTGGCATTTTTTGGCAACAAGAAAGGTATGAAGGCACTGAGAATATTCACTGTTAGATTGGCTTATTATCACTCATGATTTCAGCTGCACTGGAAACTGCAGATGATCAATATCACAGAAAAGATCAGCATGCATTTTTATTTGAATGGGGTGTTTTAAGTTTTCCTTCAAACAAGTTATCTCGTTTACTTCCCAACAAGCTAGGAAGTAATTTTTATTCCAAGACAATTTTTTTGCATCAAAATGTCACAGACTCCACATCCAAAACTTACCTCAAAAATTCCCACTAATCTTCCTAACGTCCCTTTCACTCCAGCCTGTGAAAAGTTCAAAGAGAAAAAAAAACAACCATGCTTTAACAACAGGTCAGTACACACTTCCTTTGTTTGTTTGTTGTGCAGAAGCAGTTCCCTTAGAACAAAAGCAAACGCTGTAAAATTCTGTTAATCTGAAAACAACATGATCACAAGAAAAATGACACAAATATATCAGGAGCTCTAACCACTCCCAGGAATTTTTTAATGCTTTTTCTATATTGAAACCATTTTAGATTCAATCTGGAGGAAAAAAAATAATGATTTGATCAGTTAATAATTACATATAAATATAGCCTGAATGACCAGAATCTCCTCTAAAGGTTATTATAGTCAAAGCATGGATAAAATTTGCTTTGGAGTTTAGCAGTTTTACCTCTTTAACATCATAGTTTAAGAAAATAACTCTGAAGTCATCCACTTAAACCATCAAAGCAACATGACAGCTCCCAAGTATTTCAGGGATGTCCTGCACACATTTGAAACAAGCTAACAGACACAAAAAATACTTCCAATGTTGTAAAGTGGCCTCTGCAACAGGAGCAAGACTTCTGCTGATATAACACTAAATGCAGATGTGCATTGAAAGATTTTGAATCAAGCACAGACACAAATCAAGAGAAGGTCTAAGCAAGAGTTTTGTCTTTATTTACATACTCCTGAGGATTTACCCACTTTATCTCATTTGCTGTCACTCTTCATACATCCACTCACCGCTGTGGTTCGCCTTCTCCAAGTGCTGCTTCTCACCTCTGCTCTCTGGAGCTCGCTCACGCATCAATGCAAAACATCATCCCACTCTCCTGCCCCCAGAACCCCCTCCCCTTTTTTTTTCCCCTCCCCCAATAATTTACATTCCCTTCTTTTTATGACTGCAAATGGTTGGAACTCAAGTGCTACAGACAAGATGAGATTTTGCTCCATGACTTAATTGGTTTTAAACAACACATACAATCTGGCACCATAACCCAACCGCGTTTGGAAGGTAAATTCAGCTGCTGTCTCTGGCAGCTGGAACACATCCTAAACAGTTCAGGACAATAGTGCTTCTGCTCTTGCAGACAAGATATATAGACCTGATTATGTCAGGCTTGAGGGTTTTTTGGGTTTTTTAAAAAAAAAGATGTTGGGGTGAGGGCAACTAAATATTAATGAGACAAATTCTCTGTCCTGAGCAGCTGAGATACACCAGCTTGTGCAGCTACTAAGCAGTTTGCTGTACACTCATATGCTTTTAGAAAGGATGAACTTTTATTAATTAAAAGATTTTACTGGATAACTTCCCAGTGTATTAAATGAACACACAGAGATATCAAACACCACAGCCAGAGCACACCTCACTATTGCTTCTAGCAATAGCCGATGGTAGAACTGCCCCAAGAGAAAAGGATTTGTAGCTCTCCCTACTACAAGCATTCAGAAAAATCAATAATTCTTTCTGTAACCTGCTCCCTGACCTCGACTTCTAGGAAGGAGCTTTTCAATTGAATCTTTTCTGTTGTTTTTGGATGCCAAATTTATTGTCTCATCAGTATTTCTGACATTCTGCTCAGCCTATAGGTGCACCACTGACTATTAACCGCGAGGCTATTTCTGGAGTCAAATAGCAATTCCATGAAGGTCAATGTACGCGTGTGTGCGCACACCAGTGTGCCCGGGACAGATAACTGGTTTTGACCTTTGCAGATGAGTGATTTTACCTCATCTGCAAAACTGTTGCTGCTAACCTGGACTAATCTCTCTCAGAAGTGAACTGGAAGGCAAATATTTCAAATTAATTTCATTCAAAGAACTCCTTCAGCAGCCTCAAATGGTGGGCTGCTTTTTTTTTTGATAAGCAACCATATCAACGAGCCACCAAAAACAAAGAGGACTTCACAACATACATACATTAAAAGGTGAAGTGTAATCAAATGCTTCAGGAAAATTATCATCTTAAGCCAATTTTCTTCACTTGTTCCTGGAGAATTTCTTCTCTACTCTTCTTACTTACCCGCAGAGGCACTGAATCAAAAGCCAGGCATGTTGTTGTGATGGTTTAATGAACTCTCAGGCCTGACTAGAAACAAATTTATCTCCAGATAACTAGTTAGCCTGGAAACTAAGCATGAGTACTGCACAACCAGTCTCCCAAGCAGTTTATGCCCAGCTCTAAAACTGTGCTTGAAGTAATTCAGGCAGGTGAGGGGCCCTTCCTTCTGTTCTGGTTAAACAGAGAAGCGACAGAAATAACACCCTGCCTGCAAACTAACATCACCCTTATCCATTCTGCCTTGTCTTTATTCACCCAAAAAGGCACAAGAAGTGGTGCCAAGACAAACACGTGCTGTAGGAAAATCGTGTTGAATTATCATCAGACAGCTCAAAAAAAGTGTTAAGGTTTTCTTCATGTATGAATTTATCACACCTAGTAGTAAATGGTGACATAAATTAATGGTTTGATTCAAACAAATATTGGGCTCTGATATAAAGAGTCCTTAACAAAGACTGCGTAGTACAGCAACCATCATATCCTGGATACCAATGGCTCTCTCATCCTGTTGTACTGGGTATACTGGATTTTAAAGACAACACGTAGGACATTTAAAAAAAAAAATAATAAAGTGCTTAATTCACACACAAATACAAAAGTTTCAGTCTTTGTACAATCACAAATTTTGTTTAATGGAACAAACGATCGTGGAAGTGGAATTCACAGTTTCACACAAGTTTCTAACATAAAAGTTGCCCAAGACATCGGAAAATAATTTATAGCTGTTATCACTAACAAAGCAAGCTAGATAATGAGCAACAAAACTGCCAGGCTTCTTTTTGGGCAAGCTCCATACCTCCTGCTTTCCTAGAGCCAACCCCTCAGCACCTTCCCGACTCATCTTCACTGCAGAACAATGAACATTTTCTTGGAAAGTTAAAAGCAGAGTCACAGGCTCATCCAGGACTGAGGCTGGATTTAAATCTTAATTTGTACCAGATGACTCAGGAATTTTCTCCTCAGTAGCAAATGAACTGAGAATCCTCTGCCCTCATGGGTCACAACAGTAAGTGTCTGGCAGAGACAGCACAATTTATGTGGGCACACGTTTCCCCACCAAGCTTTAGAAGTGCTGCACACAGAGCTCGTCCTGCAATCCTCAAAACTCACACATGTCCTAGGAGGATGCTATTGCACCTACCAACAAGGGGTAGGAGAGCACCAGCACCAACTGTTCCACCTGCAGGTGTGAAAATAAAGCACATCAATCAAGTGACAGCATTCCCCAGGAAAAGACACGCTCAGGTATAGAAGAGGACAGACAGAGTTTGCAAAATGAGCTTCATTTTCACTGCTCTGCAGATCCAAATCAGTTTCTAATGTCCAAGGGAGTCAAGATCCAAGTCAGTTTCTAATGTCCAAGGGAGTCCTCACCGGAGGAAACGCTAGATCTGGCAAGAGTGCATCGATCTCACAGCAACAGCCACAGCTGCCCCAAAACAGCACACGACTTCAAACCGCTGCCGCATGGCCAGAGGGGTGGGGTGGGTGTTCAGGACAAGGAACAAAAATCTGGAGGAAATGAAGCTTTACTAGTTCTGCTGCTCATGGAACAACTTGTTTTAATAAAGAAAAATTACTGAAGACATCCAAGAACAGCAGGTTCAGGTTTCAAAGCTGAAAATAAGTTGGGGTCAGATGCAAAAAGCAGCCTGCAGCAACACCATCTGTTCCTAGGGACAGCTTTTATTTCCTTCCATCTGAGCTAAGGAAAATGTGGGTTGTAATTTCAGCTATTTTACTTTACTCTATTAGGCTCAAAGCCTGCATCTACTACAGATTACTGCTGGGCAAGAGGACTGCGGTAAAACACCCAGATCTTTGCTCTAATACTTGCAGGACTAAAGGTAGTAAATCACACCCATAAAGACTGCTAGCTTAGACAAGTTCTAAAGATACCAATTCCAGACCTGCTAGGCAAATTTTTTTTTGCTGTCTCTACTGCGTCTCAGAGAGGGTTAGACTCACTCATCTAATTCTTTACTGTATTACAATCAATATTTGCTTTTACATTTGTGAAATATAAATTAATTACCGTGACAGAGTGAAGAACTTCAAGAGATTGCACTGATTTTTATGAAGTTTGAGTAAAGAGGGCAACAGACAGTAGTGGACTTGGGCCACTATTCACAGTGAATAAAAGTAAACTGAGGAAGAGTGCAACATCATCATCCCCATCACTCATCCATGGGCCTTGCAATACAGTCTTCCTATTTTAGCTCTGAAAGATAGCAATATTCATATTCTAAATCAGAAAGGTTTATTTATAAATTATGTTTAAGAGGGGAAAAGAAATTAAAAAAAAAAGAGGTCTAGCAACCAGATCAAAGAATTATCACAATAGACTGTTTTTGATATTGGCATCAATTACCTATTTGATCACAACTTCTCTGGCTTTTGATTCCCATGAAGAAAGCACGACTGACGCTCCTGTAATTTTATAGAACTTGACATTTACTAAGTATTTAAAGGTCAGGATGTGAAAGATGCTCTAAGTGCAAAATGAAATGCCTTTGGGTTGAACAGATGAGCAGGGAGGCTTTTTTCAAAGACACTCTATAATAAGTTTAATTTAAGGCATCTATTTCTAAAACATGTTCTTCACCAGTTGCTCACACCAATAAAAAAAATCCTTATTCTTAACACAAAATTAATTTGGGGGAGAGAATGCAACAGTAAAAATATTCAAGAATGAAGAACCAAAAAAATGTACCACATTGGCACTAATGACTGCTCTAAAAGGGGACATCATGTTTCTAGGTGAACCTTAGAACATACCTGGAGTTTACAGCTGTAGAAGACTGACTACATCATTTTTCAACAAGATGTCAGAAATAAGTGGGTTTATTCCCAAAAGGTTGCTCTCATTCAGAGCCAGCCTGTTTGTCTCCTGCCACTTTGCCTAGAAACAATGCCCAAGAACTCAAGTCACTTCAAATTTTATGCAGACAACGGCAAGCGTGACAAGTGTTGGTACCTGTCTACTTTAATACTTCTGCTGGTGCAGATTAATATAGATAAGGACTATCTCAAACTAGGACAAGGACTTCTAACTCAAACTGGGACAGAGGGATCACAGGTTCACTCAGAATCAGCATTTCATTATCAGAAGAATATTCTAAAATTTTGAAAATCAGAAAGAGGGAAAAGTCAGATTTCTTTAGATGACAATTATTCCAGCAGTCACATGGATAAACTCAAAGAGATATGTAGTGAAATTAAAACAGTGAATGCAGAAGTTAAAAAAATCTCAGTTTAGGGAAGCATATTTTAAAAAGGTAATGCATACCATGCAAAAAAAGAATGAAATGAGAAAAAACAGCCTATTGTCATCTTTGAAGACCACAAGCAACTGAAAGGGTAATGAGTCCTTCCAGCTCTTCCAACTGTCTCCTATTAAAACGGAAAAGGCGTGCCAAAGTCAGTGAAAGAAAGCCCACAAATTTCTTCCACAGCTTCGACCAGCAAGCAAAGTACCTTCTTTTAGGATAAAAATTGCTTCGTGTTCAGCAACATGGAGCAAAGTGGATTTTCCCTCTGCCAACACAAGCAGCAGACTCCACCTGCTCAGGTAACCTCTTGTTTCCTGGTGAGTGACGGACATGCCTGTCCTGGGAGAGGAGCAAAGGCATCAAACCTACTCAGAAATCAGTGTCAGCTACAACCTACCTGAAAACCCCTAGATTCACAGGAAAACATGAAGAAGGATTACCAGCCAGTGTGAATATCAGTTGCCCAGTAAGCACATCTCCTAAAATACCAAATCAATAGCACAAGCTGGGAAACTGGGTGCACTCGAGGCCTTTCCAGCATTACACAGAATCCCAGACTGGTTTGGGTTGGAAGGACCTTAAAGCTCATCCAGTCCCAACCCCCCTGCCATCAGCAGGGACACCTTCCACTAGACCAGGTTGCTCAAAGCCTCATCCAGCCTGGCCTTCAACACTTCCAGGGAGGGGGCATCCACAACTTCCTTGGGCAACCTAAACAACAACAACAACCTCGGGCAACCTACAGCTGTGACAGAACAAACGTTCCCCTCCCGCACACACATTCCCCAGCAACATTTTACAGCAAACAGCTCGCTGAGCTGCAGACAGTTGATGTACTTTATAATTTTTGTGTGTAGATCATAAGCAGCATACTGGAAGACAAACCTATCTGAGGAAGGAATAGAATCATAGAATGTTTTTGATTGGAAGGGACCTTAAAGCTCATCCAGTCCCACCCCCCCTGCCAGCAGCAGGGACACCTTCCACTAGACCAGGTTGCTCAAAGCCTCATCCAACCTGGCCTTCAACACTTCCAGGGAGGAGCAGCCACAGCTTCTCTGGGCAACCTGTTCCAGTGTCTGACCACCCTCACAGTGAAAAACTTCTTCCTAATATCTAATCTAAACCTCCCCTCTTTCAGCTTAAACCCATTTCCCCTTGTTTTGTCATTAGTTGCCCTTATGAAAAGTCCTTCCCCAGCTTTCTTGTAGCCCCTTCAGGTACTGGGAGGCCGCTATAAGATCTCCCCGGAGCCTTCTCTTCTCCAGGCTGAACAGCCCCAACTCTCTCAGCCTGTCCTCACAGCAGAGCTGCTCCAGCCCTCACATCATCCTGGTGGCCCTTCTCTGGACTTGTTCTAACTGGTCCATGTCTTTCTTATGTTGGGGTCCTTGCACACCTAGAAGCTGGACTGTGTTTTCCAGCCGTGTCAGCTAACCTCATCGTTGGCTGTAGAAACGCTCGAGTAATTTTATACACACGACAGGCTGTTCTTCTGCAGATGTCTTTCAGGAAAGCCTTTATGGTAACAGCATCTGAGAGCTCCATTTCACGTTCACATCACACACTACTAGGTGTTGTAGAGGTTAGCTGCTTTCCCAGCTCCTGATGTTTACTGTTTGTGGAGTGGCATTCAAGCAGATAGGTGCTTCGCTGGGAATGACTCAACCCTGCCAGGCTGCCACAGTTTGAATTACATTCTCATTCGGCACCGGTCCACGTGAGCGAGGGAACACCAGCTGAGCGAGAGGGGATTATCTCAGCCAGCCCAAACCAGTTTCTTCCCTGCAAACTGAGCCCATGCCAAGGCTTCCTTTCAGCCACCAAGCTGTCATGGAAAGAGAGCAACTCTTCCAAGGCACTGTGCTGCCCGAGGAAGGGAGGGTTGATATAGATTTATTTTAAGAATTTGAAAGGTGAAGCCGTGCATCTCCTGAATGAACCTTTGACTTCTGTATCAAATAACTTAATTCTTAATAAAGATTGGGTTGTAAAGCAGCAGTCTGCAGCTAAAAATATGTTCTATTGTTCTGGTTAAACTCACTTTGGCTTGTAATGTGTTTGAAAGATTGCCGAGTTACTAAAAAAGCAGGAGCTGTGTTACAAGCTGGAAACAAAATTTGCAAGCAGTAGTCCAGAGTACTAGAGAGATCTAAAAGACATTTAAGAAAATAAACTTTGACAGTATAATCTTTCATATCTTTCTGATAAACTGCTAGATTATAAAAACATCCAAAGAAAAAACACACAACTCGGGAACTGTCACATTAGATTAGTCCAGAGGCCCAAATATTCAGCATTTTGTTAGACAGCAGCAGGTACTTCCAAAAACTTCAGAGAAAAACCTTCACATACCAGACAATTAAATAAAGCAACTACTGGAGAAGGTTCCTCCCAAGTCCCATCAATTAGCTCTCGATTTCTGTTCTGCAGCACTAAGATTTATAACCCTCTTGAAAGTATTTCTGATCCTGCTTTACATAACTGGGAACCTACTTGGTCATCCATATATAATCATTGAATTATGTCTGAATCCAATCCAAGCATCTCTCTGATTCAATAATACCCAGAAGTGAATTCTAAAAGACATGTTTTACATACAAGGTAGTCAACTGCCATTTGCTGGCTTTAAATTCCTTATGAAAAATAAAATTGTTCTTCCAGCTTTAAGAGAAAAATATACCTTCTCCATACAGATCATCAACCTGTTTGATCTGCTGTTGAATCCCCTTTCTGAAATGGCTTCAAGTGAAAAGGAAAAAAAACCCAAAACAAAACAGGAACACATTAGGAATTGTTGCTTTTAACTCTTCAGATCAATTTCTCCCATTCACATAAAACTTGAAATATATGTTAGATCAAAACACACTGAGGTCCCTGTATTTAGAGGGTCTTTAGTGTCTCATAAGGTCTGATTTCTACATTCTACCCAAGCATTTTGCTCCACAAAAGCTCAGCTATTTTTTTAAGTCCTCTTAAGAAACTGTTCTTCATACAGAGAAGACAAAATGGTATCATTATATGTATTGAAATGACTATATAGCTTAATTTTATCTATCTGCAGTTAAAGGTATCAGGTGAGGAAAAGTTCATTGTGCCTGAGAGCCTTAATTACATTCCTACGCTATCTTTATTTCAGCCTCCGGTTTCCCTCCCACGTATCATGTGGATATCACCAGTGACTCTCTATTCCTCTTCACCTGAAGGAAAACAAGCGAGAGTGATAAAAACAAATTCCCCAAAACCTTGGCTAATAATCAGCAACAAAACTCCAGCAGCTCCCGTTCTTGTCACTCACCTCTTCACAGACTTCTCGCACAGCGGCCACGTTGGGCTCCTCCTCGGGCTCCATGCCACCCCCGGGGACAATCCATCGGTCAGGATGACGACTACTGCTAACCAGCAGCACCTGTGGAGAGCAGAGCACAGCTGATGGATCACCTCCAGGCAATGCTCCTGTGGAGAGCAGAGCACAGCTGATGGATCACCTCCAGGCAATGCTTCTTTTCAGTGCCCAGCTGAAGAGGAGAAGTTGGCTTTGCATCTCTCACACCTCCAAACACAACCAAGTCCTTGAAAATCATCCACTTTTCCCAAGACAATTTCCTTAGCCTCTTTCAGGCAGCTGTGCAAACGGCATGATCAGTGACACCACGGCACTCCAACAGTCCAAATTATTTCAGCCATCACCTTCTTCACTGTGAGGGTGGTGAGACACTGGCCCAGGTTGCCCAGAGAAGCTGTGGCTGCTCCTCCCTGGAAGTGTTCTCGGCCAGGCTGGATGAGGCTTTGAGCAACCTGGTCTAGTGGAAGGTGTCCCTGCTGCTGGCAGGGGGGTTGGGACTGGATGAGCTTTAAGGTCCCTTCCAACCCAAACCATTCTATGATTCTATGATTTTTATTTTAGACAATGTTAATTGATAAGATATAAGTAAAATATAAGCCCAAATTAAACCCCTTTAAAACCCTATCAAAAGGCTGCAAAGGCAAACAGAGTTTTTTGAATCAGGAAAAGGATTCAACCATGTTCATCCATTTTCACAGGAGTAATTTTTCACAAGCATACTTTGTGGCACTTTTTTTTTGGAAACACATTTTATTTCAGTGTAATAGTGCTCTCTACAAGTTCAGATTTTGTCATTTTCTAGATACAAAAAAGCTAATTAACAATCTCAACTGCCTAAAAATTTTCTCGAGACACTGCGCTTATGAAATCTACTTGCAATACACCCAAGAGCAGAGATGGAAACTAAACCCAAAACTAATACTGTTTTTCAGCTCTTTAAACAAAGCTTGTTCATTAGAGTCATCATGCTATACTTCATCATTTCACTGGCACAAAGCTTCAAGCCAAAGCAACTTGCTCCAGAAACTTTCCAACATACCAGGCCAATTAGGTTACAGGCCAGCTGTAACACTTTCAATCAGACATTTCAAAGTTAAACTGTGCAAGACACTGAAATCCCAGGCTTTACTGTGTAAATGTTGATTTACCAGTAGGATATGAAAGATTTGCACTAATTATCAAGGGGAAACCTACCTACAGAATTAAAAATTAAACTTCTGAAACAAAAAACAAACTTAAGATTTCCAGAGTTTCATAGTTCTTTTCTCTTTTGGAAATTCTCATCTGCTAACCAACCACCCTGCAAAGTGATTTTTCATTTCCCAGTGCCACCCAGTTCATATCTGCTCAGCACAGCGCAAAGAGGGGGACCAACAGACCATGCTGGGGTGAGGAGACATGGATCAGTTGTGGGGATCCAAACCACAGCTCCCAAACCAAGAGTAGCAAAGCTTAAGGCAGAAACTGAAGAGGGGTCAAAGGTTTTGGCAACTGCTGGTCTAACCCTCCCTAAGTCTGGAACTAAACTTGGTGTTCTCAGATGTCAGCAATTTTCTTCTCAAAGTCTCCTCTTCCTGCTTCAATCAGAACCCACATCTCAACCTGCAATGCATGAAGAAGCATCATTTCTCAAACAACCCCATTTAAATCCCTGAGCACTCCCCAATCTATTGAATTAAGACAATTACAATCCATTCTAGAAGCGAATTAAGCTGAATGGGCGCCCTTAATTCTGCAGTTTCCTAACGGAGATGCTTACAACATGACGTCTCCTGGCACAGGTTGTGATGGAACAGCATTTACTTTATAGTAACATCTCGTGGTGTTTGGCCTTCTTCAAGAGGAAGACAGAATTCCTTCCTCCCCCAGACATCCATCCAATCCATATAAGTCACGAGCAGTAAGCCATGCCTAAATACGGAATGTGAAGTCCATTCACCCTTGGAGCCCTCGAGGCTGGAGGAGCAGGCAGGGATTGTGGGCTGGGACCTGTGTCACGGTCCCTTCTCCTGTGACGTTACAGGATTTCTACTTCATCCTGACTCGTTATCACTGATGTACACAGAAGAGCTTGGACTGATATTCTGAAGTTCAGGCCAGCAGGTGATTCTGAGGACAAAGTTAGAAGTAATGGATATTTCAAATATAGAATCATAGACTGGTTTGGGTTGGAAGGGACCTTAAAGCTCATCCAGTCCCAACCCCCCTGCCAGCAGCAGGGACACCTTCCACTAGACCAGGTTGCTCAAAGCCTCATCCAACCTGGCCTTCAACACTTCCAGGGAGGGGGCATCTACAACTTCCTTGGGCAACCTGTTCCAGTGTCTGACCACCCTCACAGTGAAGAACTTCTTCCTAATATCTCATCTAAACCTCCCCTCTTTCAGCTTAAACCCATTTCCCCTTGTTTTGTCATTAGTTGCCCTTATGAAAAGTCCCTCCCCAGCTTCTTGCCAGGTAAGGAAGCAGCATCTTTGTCGTTTCCCATTTCAATTCAGAGTCCCAGCTCAAAAAAAAAAAAAATATTTAAAAACCTGCAGAAACAGATCTTTGAAACTCAGCACAGCACACTTGACACCATTGAACTCCTGCCACCTTCCACTTGTGAGAAAAAGTATCTGCTCAGAAAATCCCTGTACAAAGACTTCGACAGGAAAGCCTGTTGGATCGCTCAGGGGAAGACAATGCTTTAGCAACACACTAGTAGGAACTTTTAGGTGTAAACAACAGTTTTAGGCAAAGTAAATTAACTTCAGCTGCTCTGGCAGTTGAGCATTTTCTGAATAGAATTAACATGAACAAGCCTTGCTGGGAAGGAAAAACCTGTCATTCTCACACTTTTATATAATCAGACTATTTCCTGTTTAATAAAAAGGAAATCCCATCAAGAGAGAGCAGGAAACATGCCCTACAAGGTCATTCTTTTAAAACAACTTTAAACAGGATATTGCTACCAATGAGCTCTCCCAAGACAAAGGGGTCTAGTTCAAAATGAGGGTGAGACACTGTTGTGTTTTAAAAACCACCCATCTAAAAAAGTCCTGTGTCCCAACACATGCAGCCCGTTCAAAGGAATCAAGTAAAAAGGTCATTATAACCCAAATCTATATTTTCACAAGGCAACAGCATTCAAATATTTTTTAAAAAGCCAGGAAAATGAGATCTGCTGAAAAACAACCTCTTGGAAAACCATTAATATGTGGTTGGAAAAGGCCAAAAGCTGTTTCCAAGAGCACAAACCTTTTCCCCCCAATAGCTGGTGAACAGAAAATACAGGGGAAGCGAAGACAGCAGCTGAGCAGGGTGCAGGAGAGGGATGGAATAGTTTGTATTTCAGCCATAACCAGGTCAGAATTATTTTCTAAGTTTCAGAACAAAGGTGTGATATAGCATAAAACTAACTTACACCAAAAAGCCAAGACAGAGAACGGCAACTACACCTTCATTTTACAACATAACATGCCACAAATGTTGTTCAATTGCTCAATTAGACCAAACATTTTCCAATACAACTGAATTCTATAAAATAAAAAGTACAGTTGTTTTATTTAAAAGACCACTCAGTAGCTCCTCAATAGCTCCTCAATTGAGTAGCTCCTCAATATTGTCCTCAATATTTAAATTTTTGTTTCTTAATTTCTTTATTGCATAAAAACATTCATTTGACTATATAATAAAGAAGATATTTTAATCAAAAGAGTCATAAAAATATATAAAAAATGACTTTTTTAAAATTTTTTTGTTTAAATCAGGCCAAAACACAAAGGAAAGTTGACATTTCCATTTTATTCTTGTCAGGCAACTGCGTGTAAGATGGCTACTTGGTCTACGAAGGATTTAAGGGTTAGATTTTGGAGCCAAGTCTTACAGTCTTTTTGGAAAAGCATTTGCAGGTATCACATCCCATGGCCAAAATGTGTTTTCCAGGATTTAAAAGACAATGATGTCATTTCAAAGCAGGGAAATGAGCAACACAAGCTTCTTTGGCAACGCACAAGGCAGCCCTGAAGTAGCTCTCACACACAATCAATGAAATAAGAGAAAGGTTAGAAAAATAAGCAAAGTTTGAAGTCTTACAGCAGGGGCTCCTAAACAGTGTTAGACTGTAACCCTCATGGTTAAGCAACCTTCAAAGCAGCATGTAAACAAAATAAAAACCCAAACAAATTTAGAGCACTTTCCCCCCCCCAGAGGAGACAGGAAACATGCTGAGACATCTAAGCCTGCCTGGACCACCACAGGCAGAGTCAGGAGTTCCATGGGAAAAGAGGAAAAGAGATTGCCACTGGGATAAATCTGGGAGTCCCTGCTACACAATGCTGACTTTAAAATAACCTCATTACATACAAATCTGTTGTATTCACAACAGTGGGGTTTGGGGGTTTTTTTAAATCTTCCCCCCCTCCCCCCCCCAGAAATAACAGCTCTCTGCAAAGCAACAACCAAAATAAGGCAGAGAATTAATTCCCAATTAACAGAACAGAGATTGAGGGATTCCCAGGTTCTTTCGTGCTATGGTGGATTTAAACAACCACCACCAATAAATAAAACAAGAGTAGCTACACCGTGAGGAACACGATTCCTAGAAAGAAACTTCCACAGAAGCATTACAGCAAAGACGAGAAGGGCTACAGCATTATTAGAAGCTGGGCTATGACATTATTAGAAAATGAGTTGTGAACCTTCCAGGCTTCCAGGAAAAGACAGTCCTACTCACACACGCCAGGCTGAGGACAATCAATCTGGCAGATTCATAAAAAACCAGCAGATGAGATGTTAAATACATGGGTTTTTTGGCCCAGCCAGCATTCTGCTGCCAGAAACCAATCTATAGCAACTGAAACAGCCTCTGTACTTTTCTTTCATGCTTTTTATCAATATTAAGCCACAAAATAATATATTTTGCACCAACTTCCCGACATTTAAACTCATTTCACACTTCAGCATTATTTATCGGAACAAAGGCTGCAAGAAAATAACATCTCATGTTATTATTTTACTGTTAAATAACGCTGCAGTGGAGAAGATGGCTGCCTTCGATGATTCTGGCCTGTACAAT